AACCTAAACTCACTCAACTTATTTTTAGTTGCTATAAACAAACCCAAAGAGTTAACATGGAAGTTTTTGCTATGACTGGTGATTTGTTGTGTGTTCTTCTCTCCTGCCTTTAGGATTTCGGAGGACAAAAATTGTAAAACAAGAAACAAAATTGGTCTGGCCTTAGTGCACCATCATGCAGATAAATGTCTCGATAGGAAGATTACAACATACTTGATTCTCTACACCATACTGCCTTCCAAGTAGGAAGAGTTATCTGAGACACTGTGCTATAAATCAGTGTGCTTGTTTGTGGGGTGAAACAGGCCATGAATATAGACGTGTGTGGCAATAGCTATGATCTCTCTGACACAGATCACACTGGAGTGAGTATTGTTTTACGCCGCTTTAAGCAATATTGCAGCAACATCACGGCGGGGGATGCCAGAAATGGGCTTCACACCTTGTACCCATGTAGGGAATCAAATGAGGGTCTTCGGTGTGACAAGTGAACGCTTAACCACGAGGTTTAGTTTTCATCTCAATTTAAATATATTTCAAAGTTTTAAGTATTTAGTATTATTTTAGTGTCTAATGAAATATGGCCATTTTGTGTTTCTTTTTTGGACCATGTATCTACCGATTCTATTTTCTTAACTGACAAAAATACAATACAAATTAATGCTTACTACTTTTCGTCCTACCCATCATTTATATAAAGTTATTTTAAGATTACTTAGTGTTTTTAAAATAATTTTTATAAAATTAAAAAACTTTTGGCAAGCGATGGTACTAAAGATGGTGAATCCATCATTGAACTAAAGCAGCACTGCCAGACCTGATCAATATGGCATCATTTCCATAATCCAGTTTCCAAAAACGAGCTGATTCCAGCCTTTATCAAAATAAAATATTCTTCGTCTGACTTCTGACTTTGACAAAAAGAGTCTGTGTTCCAACAAATGAATATGCTTAGCTTAAAAGGTGATTATGATATGTTCAATGCTTACAAGAAACTATATTGTCCACCTATGCAATAGCGACGTGCCACAGATTTATGATAATTCAGTTTTCTAGTGATACATAGAACCTGCCACAGATTCAAGATAATTCAGCTCCAAAGAAATACATAGAGCCAGCCACAGATTCCAGGTATTTCATCTCCCCAGTGAAATCTGCACCGTAGACGCTACTTAACAGCACATAAAAGCTTCCCACAAGTATAGAAACTTTATGAGATCACTCCACTGATAAAAACATAGTTGAGCAAACCATACACTTTGAATGCAATAATTCAGACCATTGCTTCAAGATATTGTGCGTGCCCCTCAAGTTATGTTAATACATGCTCCGTTCATGAACCGGGCTTGAATTGTAGGGGACAGACTTGAGCTAGGAATATGATAGCTTGAGAATTATAATGGAAATGGTGTTGTGTCTGCTTGTTGGCTTTCCGGTCGTACAAATATTAAGTGTGTAGTGTTGCCCCGAATCACCTTTGTCATGCAATACCCATACTGTTCTCACTGTTGAAGGGACGTCCAGTGGTGGAGTGGATAGGGTGTTTGCCTGAAGACAAAGGTCTGGGTTCGATCCCATGGTTCTTGTACCGAAAGATGAAAGCATTCTCACTGTTGAAGGGGCGTCCACTGGTGGTGTGGATAAGGTGCCTAAAGACAAAGGTCTGGGTTCGATCCCATGGTTCATGTAACAAGAAATGTTAATGTTCTCACTGTTGATGGGTAATCCACTGGTGGAATGGATAGAGCGTCTGCCTGAAGACAAAGGTCTGGGTTTGATCCCATGGTTCATATAACAAGAAATGTTAATGTTCTCACTGTTGATGGGTAATCCACTGGTGGAATGGATAGAGCGTCTGCCTGAAGACAAAGGTCTGGGTTTGATCCCATGGTTCGCATACCAAAAGATGTTAACATTGTCACTGTTTAAGAGGCATCCACTGGTGGAGTGGATAGAGTGTCTGCTGGTAAAGGAAAGTGTCTGGGTTTAATCCCATTCTTCTCATACCAAATGATGTTAACAGATGGTGCTTGTTATACCTGCCTGGTGCTCAAAGTGAAGAGATAAAACAAGGGCAGGTCAACTTGACATTTAGTATAATGTGTCTGAGTAGGGTGTCCATGTTAAACTGAGACATGATATCTAAAAAAATAAAATGTTTAATTCTTGTGTTTTTCCTACCTGATGCTCAGCATGAATGGATAAAACAAGGCCTGGCTTTCACAACATACCTCACCGCACCTTATCAGGCAATACCTCACCACATGTCACACCTCACCTCACCTCACCTCACCACATCTCACCTCAAATTTCCTCACCACACCTTATCATGCCTTACCTCACCTCATAACACACCTCACCTCACCACACCTCACTCACCATACATCATGACACCTGATCTCACCTCACCTCACCATACCTCACCACACCTCACCTCAAATCACCTCACCACACCTTATGCCTTACCTCACCTCATGTCACACCTCACCTCACCACACCTCACTCACCATACATCATGACACCTGATCTCACCTCACCTCGCCATACCTAACCACACCTCACATCACCATCACCTTAGGAGTGTGAGTTTGTTAAAAACTGTTAAAAACTGCCTCCCTACCCATCAGAAAATGGGTACCCGGTGGGATAAATTATATAACTATTAAGCTTCTAGAGCCTCACCGGCAGCTTGGGTTAACCGGGGTAATAATGTCCATTATGTTGTATATGTTTAGAGCATGTCCCTGCAGCGTAGAGTTCAGTGCTATATAAGTGGCATATCATATTTCTGATATTTTTAAAAAATCATATTGTCAAAAAGAAAATTCTCCAAATACATCAGGTAAATCATAGTGACATAGAAACCCTCTGTGTTTATTTACAGAATGCTGCAGGAATAATGAAAGACCATGTGTTCCATTATTATGCATTATATGTACATAGCATGTAGATTTCACTATCAGCACCTGCACCACTACTGACAACAAGCATCAATAGCATGCTGATTGCGCCACACAGACAGGTAACACTAGACTGTTCAGGTGTGACTCTACCCTACATACTCTCTTACATACTATCATGAAACGGCAACAATAACAAATACTCAAATTAACCACCAACAATTTTCTTTATGCTATAGGTCGAAAAGAAAACAGCTTGTCGACAGTAGTGTGTATATCGCACCCATTGTACTCAATAGGTGTGAGATAATGATATAACACCCAAGAGAACGCCTCAGACACAACCAGGCAACACTAGATTGTTCCTGTATTACTGCCGCCTGTACATTTGTACACAGTCTCATGACATCGGCCGACTCGGCATTTTAGAAACCGAGGAGAACTTTATTATTGATGAGAAATTTATTCGCTGTAATGGCATTCGTGTTGAATAATGCAGGCGGTGAAGTTCGCCTTTAGCAGGTTTTTGTAAATCTGTATTGAATATGCATTCATAATATCGATACATGAAAGGTGTTTGCTTATTAAAATGTCAAGGGTTTGTCATTGGAGATATGAATAAGACTGTTAAAAGGCAGTTTTTCATTTTTATGTCCGTTTCTTTCAGTCTTGGGATTGTCGCTTGTATGTTGTATGTCAGTGTTGTCAATCAAACGTCAGAAATGTGTTATGAAAGACATATAGAAGTATTTTAATTCATTTGAACTTGTCCCAAGACAGTTAAAAATTTAAGTTAAGAAATGTGATCTTGGAAATAGAGATGATAACATGAAAAAGAACCTGAATTCAGAATGAATGCATGAAAAATATTATTATGCATTCCAAGAGATTCACAATAATATTCATTGTACCAAATTCTTGATAGGAAATATAATAATCCTATAATTTATATCTATAAGGATTTATAGGGTAATTATTCCATCTTATAGTACATTGTGTACTACCATTTCAAGGATTTATAGGGTAATTATTCCATCTTATAGTACATATTGTACTACCATTTCAAGGATTTATAGGGTAATTATTCCATCTTATAGTACATTGTGTACTACCATTTCATGGATTTATAGGGTAATTATTTCATCTTATAGTACATTGTGTACTACCATTTCAGGGTAATTATTCCATCTTATAGTACATTGTGTACTACCATTTCAAGGATTAATAGGGTAATTATTCCATCTTATAGTACATTGTGTACTACCATTTCAAGGATTAATAGGGTAATTATTCCATCTTATAGTACATTGTGTACTACCATTTCAAGGATTTATAGGGTAATTATTCCATCTTATAGTACATTGTGTACTACCATTTCATTGCTTCATGGAACCTTCATATTTCCTATATGGACTTAGATGTTGGGTTCCTACTGACCCCAGGTTTTGTTGGACAGGATAATATTCTGGAAATATTCTAATCAACAAAAGTTCAGGAAAACCCATTTCACCAAACACATATTTTACAATGTGGTTAAACATATTTATTTCCAGAAATTGCACCGGATTGGTAAAAAAGCGCTCTGGGATACAGATATGGTATAAATATCACAGCCATGAGGAAAAACATGTAATTAACAAACAAACAGTAGCTTTCTGCTTATAGCATTGGAACTGGTAGTGTCAGAAAGTACTAGTTAGTGCAGTTTTACTATGTGTTTCATTTACTATTAAGAATGAAAAGGATGGTGTGTTAGACATTATGAAAATAATGAATTATTGATGAATAGGATTATGCCGTGACAGAATAAATATGATATGAAATAATCAGTCTGAGTACTACATGATAATATGAGACTTGTGAATGTATAGCTTTGTTCCACAAATCTCAAACAGTATGTGAAATGTTCAGTCAGTCATAAATATCATGTTCTCCCACTTGAGAAACAAGAATGGTTCAGTGATTTCTCATTTCATGTTTGATTGGCAGTTGTACATATCTCCCGATCTATGTCACAGGAACAGAAGCAAGTCCAGACAGAAATCCCTCCACTGGGCTTTGAGATGGTCCCTGAATCTTCTCACCCCAACGAGCTCCAGGAGTACCTGACAACGAACTCGTCAATAACGCAGGTATTTGGCAGGCCTCCCACTGACTGGCCACCACGGACTGGATTCAGGTGGACTTTTGGACATCTGGACACATGGAATAACGGGACTCATACATTGCATTCTGGATTATGACAGTGGAGTTGTAAGGTGAGAGATTCCTGTACTTTAGCTCGTCAATTTCATTTTGGGGAACTTTTAAGGGAAATTTCACAGAGTTTATTCATAGACATGCACACCAAGATTATTCTGTGGCACAGTTCATTGTGTATGTGTTTACTGTTAAAAAAACATGATTGGTTCACAGAAGTTATCAAACAGAATGATTTAGATAGCTTAGGGGTATTATGTTAGTTGTGTTAAATTTTTGTTGAAAGTGTTTAAATTTTTTAAAAATCAACTTTTGATTTAACATTACTATTATACACTTATGTAATCTATTCTGTGTAAGAACTGACCTAAACCCACAACACCTGAGAAAATATTCACATAGCCCCATAAAGACGTTGGCATTTATTCCTTGTTAAGTCCAGCTCTAAGCTAATCTCAGTTTACATATCCAGAGGTAATCCTCTGCCTTTTGAATGGACTCGCTGACCGCTGGTCAGCTAAAAACTCGGAATGTTTTCTTGCCAGTGTCCTGACATTAAGCCTCCATTGACATATGAACTAGGTAGCAGTGATAGCTGTACCCATGTACACAATCCTTGCTGATACAGACTAGGTCTATTTCGTTTCTAAAGTGTACATACAATTTACCTGGGCATGCAAAGTCCCTATCAGTTATGGATGACTGCTTGTCGATATCATGTTCATTTCTTGTAAAGGTCTGTATATTTTTATGCACGATACGCTGGAATATATTCATGATTTTTTATGACATGTTTTTGTAAAGAGGCACAGGTTAAATATATGAATGGACAATGTCAAAGGATCTATTCACTTTTCATATCTCATTATATTTCAGTCAGAGTTTTGTTTTGTTGGAGTATGAGTTTGGTCACTGTGTAATTATTATTATATATATATTTGAAGAAGTTCTGAAAGTATTGATGAAATTACTGTGAAACCGTCAAGGTTACCAGAATGGTCATTTTATCGGGAACTTTGGAATAAATAAGGCTGTTCAGGGGCGGTTGGGTAGCCTTTTTTCATTTTGTATCTGTTTCTTTCAGTCTTCGCATTGTCACTGGTATGTCTATATCAGTGTTGTCAATCAAATGTCAGAAATGTGTTATGAAAGACATATAGAAGTGTTTTGATTCATTTTAACTTATCTTAACAGTTAAAATGGGAGAGTTCTGCAATCTGATTGGTGGAAATACAACGTTTGGATACTGGAAATCTCTCTCAACTCTCAATGTGTATTAATATGTTTCTTGATAATCTTTTTGTTAGAAAAGACATTTGATAATAGAATGTGCAATTTTGTATGGAAATGGCTATAACATTAACGAAAGGTTAGTTTGATCAATATTTGTTAAGACAACTTAAACTTTTTTTTCCACTTTGTGAAAATAAACCTCTGTTTCCATGGAAACAGGTCATCCAGTGATTCATGATGTCACAGCAGTTAAGAGTGACACAATGTCTGTCTCACAAATGAGAAAGTGTAATATATGCGCACACAGAGAGTACTATAGAGAATTATGGACAGTAACTTTACAAAGTTATTTTCTAGGCATCAAAGGGGTGGTTGGGTAGCCCAGTGGTTAAAGCATTCAGACATTCAGACCTGGGTTGGATTCTCCACATGGACTCCATGTATGAAGAACATTTCTAGTGTCTCCTGCTGTGATATTGCTGGAATATTGCTGGAATATTGCTAAAGGCGGCGTAACATCAAACTCACTCACTCTAGGCCTCAAATGCCAGATCTGAAGCATGTAGTGTGTTAATTCAAGACAAGCAGAGCAGCAATAGTCTAATATGGAGATAATAAATTTACATGGTCTAAAATGATTAATTCAGTTAGAAAGAATATTTATGGAAATCATATAGGGAGGTTGTATTTTTTAAAACATGTTTTAAAAAAAATCATGGATGGCAACTTCTGTGTTGTGAAGACACAACATTTTGAGTATATTCAATAATAATATAACAATTTACACGGCCTAAGAATGAATGGAAGTATTTTTTTTACATCCATACATTTCCACCCTTTCACTTCTAAATGTCATTGAAAGGTTTACGTAACATATCACATCTAAACATATGGTTATATAGCATATAACATCAACATGTGTAGAGATTTTTACATGAGCAAGAGTGTCATATGGCTTTTACGAAAATAGTGCAAAATTTTGTATTGCCTGAGCAATGTACTTTTGTGCAGCAAAACATGGTGAGCAAGTGTGATGGCCCTCTTCATTGACGTCACGTTCTATTGTTTAATGATGTCACAGACGATGAAATGCAGAAACAATGGTTGCTAATATATATTATTGTCATGTAAGAGAATGATTGAATGAATGAATGAATGAATGAATGATTGATTGAATGAATGGCTCACTGATTCCTTTATATGAAGGTCTTTGCAATTCATATATGTCAGATGTCTAATGTGTAATGATCCTTCCTAAATCAACTTTATATGTAGTCACTATTAAGACTAAACATTGCCCAAATTTCAGCTTTTGGCTAAAATGTTCTTTGTGTAATGTGATACAGGCTAGTTATTGCTTCATATCATTTCTCACTCTCAGGTTGTTGATTTCAATCTTTATTGGGTTCATGGCAGGAATATGTAATCTGTGATCACTGTACACTAAAGGCTATGGACTCATTACTCAACACTCTTGTTCATTTCACCTTGTGTAGTCACAGGAGATGTAGATTGCACCGTGCTCGGCTGTCGCTTATGTGATTTATTTCTACATTTCCTGATGGAGAAATGGTGTGTTGAGGTCATTGAGAAATGATTTCTATCAATCAATCAATTGATCAATTATTATCCTTTGGATATTCAGTGTGATTGTACCAACACATCTGTCTGTGAATGATTGTAGGTCCAGTTACTATATTCAGGTACTAAGGTCCAAAATAATGCTTATTGGTCAGGCAGTGACTAAACTTTGAGTATCAGTCTGATGTATGATGCAGTATACTTCTGGTATGCTACAGCTGTATTGCAGTGTACTTCTGGTATGCTACAGCTGTATTTGATGGCTCTGATGCAGTATACTTCTGGTATGCTACAGCTGTATTGCAGTGTACTTCTGGTATGCTACAACTGTATTGCAGTGTACTTCTGGTATGCTACAACTGTATTGCAGTGTACTTCTGGTATGCTACAACTGTATTGCAGTGTACTTCTGGTATGCTACAACTGTATTGCAGTATACTTCTGGTATGCTACAACTGTATTGCAGTGTACTTCTGGTATGCTACAACTGTATTGCAGTGTACTTCTGGTATGCTACAACTGTATTGCAGTGTACTTCTGGTATGCTACAGCTGTATTGCAATATACTTCTCGTTGTTTCTGCTCCTATGACTTCTTTGTTCTTCGAACTTCGTTGTTTCTCTGCCCCCATGATATCTTCTAACGCTCTTCTAACTCGTTCCTCTGCTCCCATCATGACATCTTCTCGCTTCTTCGAACTCATTGTTTCTCTGCTCCTATGACATCTTCTCGCTTCTTGAACTCTGCTCCCATCATGACATCTTCTCATTCTTCGAACTCGTTGTTTCTCTGCTCCCATGACATCTTCTTGTTCTTCGAACTCGTTGTTTCTCTGCCCCATGAAATCTTCGTTCTCTTCAACTCGCTTCTCTGCTCCCATCATGACATCTTCTCGCTCTTCGAACTCATTGTTTCTCTGCTCCCATGACATCTTCGCTCTTCGAACTCGTTGTTTCTCTGCTCCCATGATATCTTCTTGTTCTTCAAACTCCTTATTTCTCTGCTCCTATGACATCTTCTCATTCTTCAAACTCGTTGTTTCTCTGCTCCCATGACATCTTCTCATTCTTCAACTCGCTTCTCTGCTCCCATGACATCTTCTTGTTCTTCGAACTCGTTGTTTCTCTGCTCCCATGACATCTTCTCATTCTTCGAACTCATTTTCTCTGCTCCCATGACATCTTCTCATTCTTCTCGAACTCATTGTTTCTCTGCTACATGATATTCTCGTGAACTTCGTTGTTTCTCTGCTCCCATGACATCTTCTCATTCTTCAACTTGTTTCTCTGCTCCCATGACATCTTCTCGTTCTTCTTCGAACTTGTTTCTCTGCTCCCATGACATCTTCTCATTCTTCTAACTGTACTCTGCTCCCATCATGACATCATCTCTTTCTTCAAACTTGTTTCTCTGCCCCCATGAATCTTCTCGTTCTTCAAGAACAAGTCGTTTCTCTGCTCCCATGACATCTTCAAGTTCAATACAAAACATCCAAATGCACTAGTATGATGTTCTATATTTATCATATACCCTCTTATCTTGCATTAATCTGTTACTTAATAAAACAAATTATAGCATGGCAGTAGGGTTTCAATACAGAATCTGGGGTGCAATACCTAATTTGACCACGTCATCCGTATTGCACCCCTGTATTACTATCCTAAGTTTACATGGGTATATAATAAGCTATGAAACTGGTTGGGTTACCCTCACTTATGTCTTGAATATTCAATATGTTCTACTTTACCTGATGAATCAGGCCATTGACGAGGAGTAGTTGCTAGCACTGTTCAGTCAAAACCAACAAGATATTAGGATCGTGTTTAGTCCGTGCTCTTCACAAGTACCAACTGAAGGGGGGTTGGGAGATGCGAGGTACAAATTAAGTTAAGGAAGGGTGCCAAGGGTGTGGTATCATATTAGGGGAAGGGGGGCAACTGAGGGGGAGGGGTACCAAGTGTGAGGTAAACTTATTTTTCAGTGTTGGACTGTTCATTGTTCTAAACGTTAAGCAATAGTAAGAAATGGATCCAGGATATGTATCATAATTGAATGGTTAGTCAAGGTGAAACTCACCCACTCACTCACTCATACTCACTCATACTCACTCATACTCACTCATACTCACTCATCATATCCCAGTTGCAGATTGACTCACTCACTCCTACCAGTTAAGAATTGGTCTTCAGTAACCCATGCTTGTCGTAAGAAATTACTAACAGGATCGGTTGGTCAGGCTCGCTGA